GTCATCTTTACTTCATAATAGACGACCCTTTTTTTAAAAAAACCGTCATCTTTACTTCACAATAGACGACCCTTTTTTTATTTATACTTTCATTAAATATAACATAAGATTTTGTGGTATCCACTGGTGTAAATATTTTAAATTGACGATCGAATGTAGTCATTGTATTCATATAGGGTCAAGGAGTGTAGCTGTAAAAAATCATCAAAATCAGAGTTGAAATAACCGTTAAATCTTGATTTTTCGTTTATAACCGTCGAAATGTTTTGTCCCGTTACTTGATCTCTGATTTATTTTTATTTTTCCGATTTTTGGCGTATATGATCACGATGTGTAAACAAACAAGTTTTAATATAAAGTATTAAAATTATGTCGTTTTCCTTATTTGACGGCTGCCGACCAAATAACTTGGTGGCTAATTCTAGGAGACTATAAATTAAAAACATTTCCCTAACCAGTTACTTCCCCCAATTTACTTCTCTCGTATCCAGTCTCTCCATCTTCCCCCAATATATTCACTAACAATTAAGAGTTTATTTATACTTTCATTAAATATAACATAAGATTTTGTGGTATCCACTAGTGTAAATTTTTTAAATTGTCGATCGAATGCAGTCATTGTATTCATATAGGGTCAAGGAGTGTAGCTGTAAAAAATCATCAAAATCAGAGTTGAAATAACAGTTAAATCTTGATTTTTCATTTATAACCGTCGAAATATTTTGTCCCGTTACTTAATCTCTGATTTATTTTTTTTTCCGATTTTTGGCGTATATGATCACGATGTGTAAACAAACAATTTTGACGGTTTGATCGTTGAAACTAGTTTCGTAGAATGCGTATGCCATCAAAACAATATATTCACTAACAATTAAGAGTTTATTTATACTTTCATTAAATATAACATAAGATTTTGTGGTATCCACTAGTGTAAATATTTTAAATTGACGATCGAATGCAGTCATTGTATTCATATAGGGTCAAGGAGTGTAGCTGTAAAAAATCATCAAAATCAGAGTTGAAATAACTGTTAAATCTTGATTTTTCGTTTATAACCGTCGAAATGTTTTGTCCCGTTACTTGATCTCTGATTTATTTGTTTTTCCAATTTTTGGCGTATATGATCACGA